CCCCTCCTGCAGCACCCCTCCTGCAGCACCCCTTCCTGCAGCACCCCTCCTGCAGCACCCCTCCTGCAGCACCCCCTCCTGCAGCACCCCTCCTGCAGCACCACAGCCCCTCTGTGGGGATGGAGAGGGGTTAGGGTGGGGTGGCTGGTGGGGACAGAACCTGGCTATAGTGTGTGCTGAGCTCTGGCAGGGTGGGGGGTGGTGGTTTGGTTGCACTTGTTGGGGTCCTTCTCCACTCAGTGTGTCTGTGCCAGCCATGGCCATGTTGCTATTCTGCGGTCATTTACCTGTTCTATGGGACTGTGCTGACCGCATGTGGGCTGTTTGGGGACTCAGGTTGCTGGGTGAGGATGTGAGTGTCGGAGCCGATGGCTGGAGGACCTGGAGGGTGACCCAGCTGCAGGGTCCTCACTCAGCATCTCCTGCCTGCCTTGGCGGCTTGGAGTGTGTATCCGGCTGGTGCATATGTCTGTGGGCGCCTGCTGCGTTCCTATGCGCATGTGAGCTTGTTTGTGCATCACACGTGCCTGTGTTTATTCCTCTGTGTGTGTGAGGGTCTGTGTCTGCGTGCGAGTCTCAGTGCGTACGTGCTGAGGGGCTCTGCTGAGTCAGCGTTGGTGCCGGGCAGACAGCACTGCCAGCCAGGCTGCGGCCACCCCACAGTTGCATAAACACTGGTCCCCACTCCCCCTTCGAGCAGGGTGGTCCAGCTTGTAGCCCTGTGGCCGGTGGAAAGGGAGGGGCGGGGGCAAGAGGTTTGTCCTCCTGTGGGCCTGGTTTTCTCCAGGCCTGAAAGGTTGGGGTCTTCTCGGGGGGGGGGGTCTCTCCAGGCTTCTTTTCCTTATTTGGCCTGAGGCCTGATGTCTGAGGTGTCTTGAAGGTGGCAGGAATAGTTATCTTTCTAGCCCTGGTCCAATCAGGGGTCAGTGGGTCAGTGAGGGGGCTGGGAGCCGGCGACAGAGTTCAGCCTCAGAACCCCAGAAAAAACAGTCCTTCTGCTCTGATTTCACCATGTGCTGCCTGTGG